TGTGTGTGTGTGTGTGTGTGTGTGTGTGTGTGTGTGTGTGTGTGTGTTGGGGATCCAAGGGCTATAAAATGGGCAATATTACAGAATATTATAAGAATTATTCACAAGATGGTCCTTCCAGAAGACCTGTGGGGTCCCAGTACACACCACCTCAGGCATATCAAAATCACCCACAGCTCCTGCTCCAACCATCTGATGTCCTCTTCAGGCCTTCACAAGCATCAGCACAGACACAGAGACATTCATATGTGTGCATGCACACAAGCACACATACACACTAACACACATGCACAGATGTACACACTTAAGTATACAAATATTCACTGGAAACGTTGATAACTGGGAGAACAAGGCTTTAAGACACCCATTCGCTCCTTAAAGCTATTTTAGAACTTTCTCATTTTCTTCAGAATCCCCAAAGGGACTGGAAGTTAACATGATTCATTTCTCGTCAAATTTTTTATTTTTAAATTATATAATATTTATAGAAATACATCCATGAAGGGAAAGGGTTTAAACTCATACATTATTTAGAGAGTCCAATTTTTAAATTTTCACTTAAGTACAATTTTTAGTATTATTCATTAAGACATTTTCATAAGTTTAATTTAATTGGGACAATTTTCTTCATTCCTTAATTTTAATTGCCTAGATGCTAATTATCCAGTTCCACACAGCAGCAATTTTACAGAGTGTGTTTGGGTATACACAAATAACTGATATTTTAAAAGTAAATACTATCATAGTTGTCTCAAAGTCTGATTACTCAACATATAACAGCTAGTGGTTATGACTGTGTGAAATTACGGGCATCCTCTAATCCTGGATTTGAATTTTGAAGATGGACTATCCATTACACTCTGTCTCTCACCATTTTTGTCTGGCGCTCTGGATTCCAGGAATTCCAGAATGTGTGAGTGGGTAGGGAAGATGCAAGATGAGCCTTCGGGTTACGGCATTTCCATGAGGCCCTGGGCTCCGCAGAGTGCACAGTCTTTGTTAAGAGTGTCTAACTCTGCAGTGGACAGGATATTGGTGTTTCAGGACTACCACCCCCACCATCGAGAACACGTGAACACTTGATAGAAAGGGAGGACAAGTTATGATTTCATAAAGTAAGCTGTTTCCCCAAATAAAGATGTCGGGAAGAATCTACGTTCACTGCTGATTTTTTGTCTCATGCCTGGAGCTGAGGGTATTTAATAATTATTTCATTCTAATACAAAAGAGACCGAAGCCATCAAATGGAGAGGTCTGGAAGGTCATGTCTTGACCTCCATTGACTCTGTGGTCCCATTAGCTCCCGTCTGCTTCTCAGTGTCAACCCTTACGGGCTCTTCTTACATCATGTTGAGCATAGATACAAATCTGCAAGTTTTTAGGACTCTGAGTCCCAGGAACCTTGTGAGGCAGTCTGGACTGTACCAGTAGAGTTTTTATGTTGAAAAATTACAACAAACGTTGCACATTTGAAGAGAACCATCACAAAAACTTAAAAATCTTAAAGTGTTTCATGAACTCCTTTCCAACTCTTGAGATAATTCCATTCACCATCAAGACCTTAAAACACAGTGCCTGGGGCTAGGGAGGTGGCTCAGTAGGAGAAAGTGCTTGCTACACAGAGACCTGAATTCAGAGCCTCAGAAACTTCCTTGTGAAAAAAAAAAAAAAAAAAAAAGTCTGCCAAGGTGTGGTGGTGCACACCTTTAGTCCCAGCCCTTGGGAGGCAGAGGGAGGCATATCTCTGTGAGTTCGAGGCCAGCCTGGTCTACAGAGCGAGTTCCAGGACAGCCAGGTCTGCAGAGAGAAACTCTGTCTTAAAAAGAAACTAACTAGCTAACTAACCAACTAACTAAGTAACTAACTAATAAACAAGCCTTTGTAACCACAGCACTGACAGAGACGGGAGCATCGCTGGGCTTGCTGACGGCCATACCAGCTCCAGGTGACCTGAAGACCCCACGGGAAGGGAACAAGGCAGAGCCACCGGCCAGGACACTCTCTGTTCTCCAGCTCGGTAACAGGTATACACATATATGTTGCAAGTATATGCTTAGCTAGATACCACATTCACACCCATACACACACACACCACACACCACACACACATACACACACAAACACACCACACTCTTCAGCAAAGTAAAATGTAGCATTTCCTAATGAGAATATCTTCAGATTTCTCAGACTTTTCTCTTTATTGACATAGAGCTTGATTCTGAAAAATTCATCTAGCTTTTATATGAACTTTGGATAACTGAATCTAATAAGAAATTCCCGAAATCCAAAGCAAAGGAAAGTGCCTGGAACACGCTTCCAGGCCGTTTACATTGCATTCATCTTCTGTCATGGATCATCTTTCCTATCTTGTGCAAATAAATACTTCTTTGAATTCCTGAAGCTTTTCAATTTTCCACACACCTGCAATAAATTAAAATGAGATCCTTCCTGCTGACAGACTGGTGCTGTGCGCCTCTTAATTTTACACCAGAGACTAATTGTCCAATTTGCGACAATTCAGCCCAGCACAGAAACATTCAATGAACCCTACAGTTGCATGCAGTAGATGCATACAGTTGCATGCAATAGTATCGGAAGCAAGGAAGTTATTGTGCAGGGTATTTCATTGACATATATGCAATAATCAAACTAAAACTGCATAAACTTGAATAGAGATTCACTGATCGGCAGGCATGTTGCTAAGTTAAAGGTAATGTTGCTTCAAAATATACAATGAGAAGCGTACGAGCCGATCTGCAGAGGCCCAGGACAGCTGCATGCGGAGCGTGTCTTGTAGCTATGCCAGGTAAAACACACCCACGAAGCATCAGCAGAATGCTTGCCTGAACAAGAGTGGCATAGTGACAACATTGGGCCTGTGAGGTGACGGGATCTCTAATGGTCTCACCTCAAGCAAAGAGCCACAAGTGATGAGTGGCTTCTCACACAGGGTGCTCCCCCACAGGCTGGCTAATCCTAAGTATAAATGTGTGTGTGCACACAGGTAATAATAAAAATGAAAGAGGAGATCATGGAACAGGGCAGAGAAGAAAGTGAAGGTATGAAGAGGCAGGATTGAAGAAGAGGCAATGCTCATGAATGAGGTTCTTAAAATTACATATATATATATGTACAAATGTATATATGTATGTGTATATACAATGAGTGTATCTTCAACTATAAGAAAGCTACCAAGGAGGTAATGGCTATGCCGCTCCTGATCCTGCTTGGCCGAGGAGGCGTGTGTTTACATATGCGTTCACTTACTGTAACAGAGAAAGAAGGGCACATGAAGCCATGCACTTACGTAGGAACACTTTGTAGCTGACAGCAAGGATAAGTCAAGGTCACTGGACATCCCTTTAATACCCCAGGTTCAGTAGATTCCAGTAAAAACTCAACATTAGCGAGCTCGGTAGACTACAGGGCAGACAGCGCACTGATCTGCAGCAGTGACTAACTCGAGAACCAGGCCCGGCAGCACCGTGTTGAACTGTCCTGATGTCAAGATGTTTCTTGACTAGAGGACTAGAGGACTGGAGAATTAGGTGACACCATTAATTAGAGCTATTACTTATGGCTCTTTAATATGTTTACAAGCTAGACCTAAAATATGTGAAAACTCATTAGACCTCACACTGGCTTACAAAACACTGAATGTTAAAACTAATTTGAGTTTATTAAGTCTTGTTTTTTGGTTTTTTTTAATTTTTTTTTTTTTGTAATTAAGCGTAGGCGGTTTTCTCCTAGCCACGTTCCTTAATTCTGCCAGTGTTTATGCCCCTGCTCCTTTGTGGCTGCCTTTGTATCTACATAAAAACTCACTAGTCATTTTGGGAGACTCTGGTGCTTGGATTTTATTTGTAATTCAACTAGGAGCACCTTACTTGCTGGGCGTCAGACCGGAAGTGCTCTCTGTTACAGTATTGTTTCACTGGTGTGGTTCCCCACACTTACAGCTTATCAGAGACTCTTGTTGGCACAGAAAACAACAGGTTATCCCTGTGTCTGCTGTCCTCCTCAGTGAGGACTAGTCAGGGGTATCTGTTTGTCTTTCTTCTCTCTTCACTACTTTGTGGGCTCTTGGTGGGTTCCTCTCTCGTCTGTATCCTAACCATATCTCTGTTGGCTCGGATCAGCTCAGCCTCTCCAGGCTCGGCTGTCACAACTGTCTTCCCACTCTGCTAGCTAATTCACTACCAACTATTTCCCATGTCCACTCTGCCCAGTCTCTTTTCTCCTTCTCTCTAGCCCTACTCTCTCATCTTTCTTCCTGCACCAGCTGTCTTCTCGGACCCTCCTCTTCTCTCTCGGCCTCTGCTGCCTCTGCTGGCTTTTTATATCCTCTCCTGTTCCCAGAGGCCCAAGAGCAGACCAACACTGAAGGGCACGGGGTCCTTTAAAGGGCTAGGTGCACAAAACGAAGCACACCACCCTCAGTTAAGTTCAGGCAACTGCTCCATTTTCATCCTTTATTTCACAACATTGTTCACACAAGGAGTAGCCAAACTGTAAATAAAGATGGTAATAAAGTTAAAATTGGTTGACGTAACACTTGCATACATTTTATATACCATTAGGACTGCAATGTGCTGTGGTGGGCACAGGAGGAGTTTATGATGCTTTCTGCCACCACAGCATCATGGTCTTACTAAACAGACAAAACTAAGTGAATAAAATGTTAAAAGTATGAACTCAACAGTCACTCAATCTTTCTGATAGAGATTAATAGACATCACTTGTGAGCTAAGATACGTGACACAGTGTGCCAGAAACAAGCGCTTTATGCATGCGCTGTAATTACATTTTAACTTTAAAAAGAAATGCCAAGCTGTGTAAGGAGAGGATATTTTGAAAGAAAGGGATCTTGAGAATTATTCTTCTTTTAAAACAAGCAAACAAACAATAACAACAACAACAAAACAGTCTGAGTGTTACAGTCTGTTGTGGAATTGGAGAGACTCTCAGCACACATGGGCTCTGTGTGTGCTGACCTAGACAAGTCTCTTAAGCATTGTAGCAGCCTTGGGCTGCCTGTCAGCCGCACATGCCCTGGGCTTTCTGCACTTCCCGGTCACATCCTGAGAGATGCTCCTACCCCTCTCCTTCCTTCTCTCTCCTGTCCCCTGACTTCCTTCATGCCGCCTGTGCCTTTCCACCAGATTCAAGGCTCACTGTTTGCAAATGACTCCACTGTTAGAGATCGCTGAGCTAGGAGAGGCTACAGGGAGCACTTTCAATAATTCATTTTGAGCAGCTCCCTTACCATCTCCTTTGCCTGTTGGGGACATATTCCAGGATCCCAGTTAAACAGAAAAACCAAAAGTAGCATTGATTCCTACACAATTCATATATATATACACACACACACACACACACACACACACACACACACACACACACACTGTCTCTACCCTACATATAAATATTTATAACCCTATACCTTTTCATTAAAAACAAAACAAAACACTTTGCAGCTTCTCTTTGCTGCATCCCAAGAGCAGTATTATGAGTTGTACCACCACAGGGAGTTATTAAGTACAGTAAAGTACTTGATCATTAACACTGTGATAAGTGTGATATGGTGACATCTGTCTGATAAAGGAGAGCTTATTTAATAACTCACGGGCAGGCAGTTGTGTAATTCCTGAGCAGGATGGAGTGAAATGCTATGGGATTTGATCATACTAACCCAGGATGGTATGCGATTTAAAACTTATGAATTATTTCTGGAACCTTCCATTTAGCATTTTTTTTTTAGATGGAGGCCTGCCACATAGTAACTGAAACTATGGGGTGAAACCGCAGATAAGAGGGAACCAGGAAACACGACCAGCCCTAAACTAAGAACCTGGGAAATAAAGATGATTAAGATACAACTGGTGTGGACCAGCAGCACAGTGTCAAGCAGGAAAAGCAGAACACAAGCACAGTGTCGCAACTAGAGTCCGTAATAACAGAGGGACTCAGGCAAGGGCTGTGCTTGTGAGCCTTCCTGCATGCATAAAGGCACCCCTGCACAGCTCGGCCACGGATGGCTTTGCAGATACCCTAGTGGAGCGCAGGAAGTTTATAATGCTGAAATCAGTTCTAGGGCTCGGGAGACAGCTTAGTGGGAGAAGCATTTCTATGCACGTGTGGAGACCAGCGTTCAGATCTCCGGCGCTCATGTAAAGGCCAGGAAGGCATGAATCCCTGGGAGCAAGAAGCTGAAGCAGGTTCCCTGGGACACCAGTGACTTATGGGTTCAAGCGAGAAACCTGCCTCTCACTCTATACATGGGTGGAAGGTGATCTGGGAGCACATGAAGTACGACCTTCACACATTTATATGAACGCATGAACCCGAATGTACATAACACCCTCCATGCCCTCGCCCCCCCCACGTGCACACATACAGAACACACACACAATGCACACACACACACACACACACACACACACACACACACACATACACACACAAGAGAGAGACTTTCATTAAGCCGCTAAAGTAGTTGATTTTTGAAGAAGATCAAGACAAAGCCCTTTTCTGTATATATCTACTTAGATTTCATGTGGTGATTTAGGTGAGAAAGACGTGTTGAAAATTTAAATATACGTAAAACTTTAAATAAAATAAGCTAGGATTTTGGCTATCCAGGTGTACTTGGCAGCTACAGGAATACCCAATGACAAATTGGTCCCGGGGGGGGGGGGGGCTTTTTTTCCCCTTGAAATCCAGGGATGTATTAACTCTAGGAATAGATTAAAAACTACAAAGGAGAAAGGCAACAGTTTGAAAAGCCAGTAGTGAAGCCAGAGCTCAGGAAAGGGCTGACTCCTTATTTTGTAGCAAGATGTCTGAGCAAGCAAGATTTCATGCAAATCAGATTTAATTTTCTGTTCATTTTGCTTCTAATGAATATGAAAAGAATCAGTTCCCTCCAGGGCCAGTCCACAGTTTTGCTCATTTGTACCTTCTCTTCAGAACTTTTAACAAATTCCATCTCCTTAAAATAGGAAAAAAAAAAAAAAAGGCCATCAAGACGGCTCAGTGCTCAGTGGTTGAAGGCATTGCCGCGGAGGCTGGCCACTAAGTTCAATCCCCGTGACACACGTGGTGACGAATACAATTAAAATCGAAACAATGAAAATACACCAGTGGTTTCTAAGGAACAGAATGAGCTCATCGAGGGTGACCTGGCACTTCTGTGCAAACACAGATATTAACAAATGTTTTGTTCCTGAATCCACTTTATAAATCAATGGATCAATATGTCACTTGTCTCCAGTGATGCTAACAGCTGCAGTACCTGATGACGCCTATTTCAAAGACTTCTGAAAACTGCTAATGGTGAACTTGAAGGTCTATTATTTAAGCACATAACATACGGGGTCAGTATGGTGTTTTTACATATTATTCATTCATTCTGCCAGTTACTCACTGAGAGAGAGTTTTATTATGTACCCCCACTGGCCCCGGAAGTACTATCCTCCTTCTCCCTCAGCCTCCAGATGTAACTCCAGGCTTGGGCATCACTACTCCTGGCTAGGATGGTAATTTTGGGGTGCACTACAATTTCCTTTAGGTTTCAGTGTATGACAATTAGTCAAGTGAAGGCTAAGGTGCTACAAAGCTTAAGAAGCACTGAAACATTAGCAAGTGGGATAAATCATATTTTAATGATATTTTAAAATTAATAGAATGTGGAATGAACAAAATATTAAAATGAATGTAGGATCACAGTTTCTGATTTCTCTCCTTGCTTTATATCTCAATGCTGTTATTAAGAATCCGCTGGCCCTATTCCTTGGAATATTATTAAGCTGGAGTCCCTACTTTCTAACCCCTGTTTCTGCCACGTGACACAGCACCTTCAGTTTGACAGCACAGCTCTCACCATTCACCCGGTTTTAAGAAACAGCAGAGTCCTGTAGGCAGCTTCCTGAGCGATGGGTTTTATCATGCTGTAAAAATCTATAATGTGTAGTTTGTATGCTACAGTGGTTGTCAGAATTGTGAAGTATTGGTGAGAGTTTAGTACCTTTTTTTTTTTTTTTTATAAGTGAGAAGCAACAACAGAGCCTACTCATTCTCTCCAAGGCTCAGGCAAGCAGCACAAAGTCTCAGCCACTCGATACCCTCAGCATCCAGCACCAGCTTAGCTGAGCCTTGTGCAAAGATAAAATAAGTAGACGACCTCATTTCAGTTTCTTCTTGGCAGACATCCAGGACGCTAACTGGCACCCGAGTGACGGTCCCATGAAAGTAAGCAAGGTGAGCCCCATGTGGAAAGGAATCTGGGCCCATGCACAGTTCTGTATCTGAATACTGAAGTGGAGCCTGTGAAGGCCTTCCCTTGGCTTTACTGGGTGTGGGGGTCACTGGACCGACTGGACAGTCTCCACACTTGTTTACACCGTGGTCTAGGAATGCTCTTCCAATGGATTTCAGAGTAAAGCACAGCATAGGCTTATGGGGTATAAAGCTGATAGAAAGCTGAACACACAGCACACACAGAGCACTCAGAGTGTGGCTCTTCTTCATTTTCAGCCAGTCTTGGGGATGCGGAAGGAGTTTTGAACAGGCCCAAAGGAGCTGGGGGCAGACCAGGGGCGAACTGTGAGGAAAGGAGGGCATGGATCTTAATGTAAGCCTTAATGATACAATCTTAGTTACTCCCAACAACTGATGTCATACGGAGGACTTGAAGAAAAGCTCTTCTTAAATGAAATAATTTGCATAAGGTTCCTGGCATTTGGACAGGCCCACGTGACCTGAAAACATCCATGCCAACTCTTTTTTTTCTATTTTTAGTAAAAAAAAAAAAAAAATGCTAGATTAGTTGCTCCTTTCTTTCCCTCCCTTCCTCTCTTCCCTCCCTCCCTCTCTTTCTTTTTTCTGTCTCTCTCTTTTTATTTCTTTCTGTCTCTCTCTTTTTTTCTTTCTTTGTGAGTGTGTATGTGTGTGTCCATCCGTCCACCATGGTGCACTTGTAGGAGTCAGGGAGTACTTTTTTGGAGGCCAGTTCTCTCTCTCCTGTAATGTGGATTTGGAGCTAGAACTCAGCTCTTCGGGGCGGAGGCTCCCACTGCACTATCTCACTAGCCCCTTGCTTTCTTTCTTGGTAATATTTTCTAGCAGTAAGAAAATGTTTTCTTGGAATGGGGTCCCATCCACCTGCATCAGAATCAAAATTCTCCCAAATTTCCCTAGTGGAACCAACAGGCAAATTAACTACAATCTAAACTGCTCTGATCCTATTAAGTTCAACTAAACAACAACAACAACAAAAAGCCAAAAAATCAAGTAACTAATTTTGGAAAGTCTTCATCCCGAGGGTGATTTTCAATCTGGTTCTACAACTAAAGGCAACAATTAATTATTTGTAATTTGATTTTTCTCATCAGCCTACTTTTGAGTTTTGGGAGGAAAAAGATTACTCACCAACAAAATGTAGTTGCTTGCAAACTTGAATTCAGCAGACACTTAAAAATAAATGTTAGTACCTTAGCTTCAAGAGTTCTTTACTCCTTCCAAGGAATTGCCACCCAAATCACTGAAATCCATTAATATTCTCTCAATTGCTTTCTTTCTGATTACTTCACACAATGACAGAATAGACCATTTAAAATAGCACAACTTTTTAGTGCTTTAGTTTTATATGTTGTATTAAGCAATTGAACTATTTCATTCTTGGTCTAAAACGAAAACACTGCTGAGGCTTGAAATTGTGTGTGGTTAAAACATTATTTTGCTTTAAAAATTAGTGATGATACAACAATTTCAATCTTCTCAAACTCCCTTCAATAGTATCTCTTGGGGCATATATTTCGTGGTCTTGTTAGAGATGTCAAAGGAGAAAAACCACAGTCAACTCACCAAAGAAAGCTGGGGAGAGGGGCAATGAGCAAGCCTCCCTGCTCTGTGTGGGATTTAGTGCTACAGAATCCCCAGAAAGGGTAACATACCGTGGGGTCTCATGTAGGTGGATAAGGAAAGTTCTCTTTGTAAACCATCTCAAGAGATTTGTGTTTCCTGGGACATGGATGAGAAATGTTAATTTTATGTCAACGGAGAGAAAGTCATGTGAAGGCAGGCTTGGTTTTCACGTGTTTCCTAATTAATTAGGTCTTGTCTTTTTGTTTATGTTTTCTGTCTGTTTGAGGCAGACTGTCACTAGGTTGCCCGAGCTGAGCGGCAGCTCAGCTGCTCCGTTGCCACCCTGTCAAGTGCTGGGCTGGCAGGCGTGCCCCACGCGGTCAGCTGGAGAAGAGTCAGGGCAGACCGGTGGAAGGCCCAACTCCCACCAAGTGAATCAGTATCAGTAAGGACACAGCCAGTCAGCATGTGAGACTTGGTCAAGTATTGTTTGTGTTTTAAATGTCCTGTGTTTATTTGTAGGCTTTGTTTCCATTTTAAAGAATGCCTTGTAAATAGTTTTTTAAAATTTTAACAATATGTTTTGTTCATTTGTGTGTACCTGTGTGTGAGTGTTTGTGTGTGTGTCTCAGTTTGCATATTGGGGTCAGAGAACTGCTTTGTGGAGCCAGTCCTCTCTTTCCACCGTCCAGTGAGTTCCAGGTTTCTAACTCGAATCCTCCTGTTTTTGAGGGGAGCCTTACACACACTGAACCAACCCACTGGTCTTCCAATCAGCTTTATGATGTAGCCACTCTGTGTGACCTACTGTGGAAGGGTACAATGTATGTCAGGTTACACGGTTAGCTTGGTGGGTTTTTATATCTAGCAGACTGGCATATCTGTGTTCTTATAATCTAGAAAAAACAGACCCAAACCTGCAGCTGTCACATAAGAACCATGGTGTGAATGAATATGAAATGCAACATCACAGAAACTAACAGCACAGTTTTCGACTGCAATAGCCAAAGGGCAACAAATTGAATTGCCTACAAACCCAGTGTCCTTAGCATTGCCCAGGTCTAGCAAGTGACAGGATGTTACATTTGTTACCTTTGACAAACAGTAAGGAGAATGGTGGTGGAGATGGATTTAAGAACAATACTTGATATTGCCAATCTCAGTCTCTACTTGATTTGTCTTGACGCATGATGAAAATAACCGATTAGTGGGAGAAAAGTCCGAAAAGAAAGTCCAGATATGGGATAGAACATTTAACAGACAGCCAAAACCCTGTACCATACAGACCAGTTTCAATCAGAAGGCTGCATGTTATTGGATTTCAAGTCCCTGTTACGTCTGCTGGTTCTGCCTATGCTCTGCCTCAGACAGTCTCTTTAAATACAGATTCGCGACCTCGCCTTAGGAGAACACGGTGAGAACATGCCACAGTCACCAGCCATGATTATCAGACCATGGAGATTTTATTTTCTTCTCTCAGCCAACCTTAAAAACGAACAGGCAGTTAAAAGCTGGGAGGTGATCTGACCAGAGAACAAGCTATGTTACCATTTCCACAAATCTGGAATGTGGAAGTGCAAAGGCCTTTGGTCCACTCAGTGTGAACATTTGGAAACAAAGCATTCTGGGAAAGAAATATTTAGCTGAGACTGACTGGGAGGGCCAGAGCTGTTAAACTCCATGCACTCACACCTGAGTTTAAGCCTCTGTGGTTGCTATTACCATGGATGACAACGTGTCCTAAAGATTAGGATGAGCCAACACAATCCAAATGCCTCACGAAAAGAAAGAAACACTCATTCCTAAGGCTTCCCTACATGTCTGTCTTATTTGGCTGCAGCTGGAAGTGCAGCCTCACCACAAAGTGGAGAAGCAATTGCCCCCTGATCTGGTTTACCATATTTCACCAGGATCCCATGGCCCCTGACACAGCTCACCATTTCCTGCCAGTGACCTCATGGTCCCTGATATGGCTCACCATTTCCCACCAGGATCCCATGGTCTCCCCTGAATAGATAAAGCACTCTCTGAAGGCCTCACAGATATTACCAGTCCTACTCAAAGTTTAAAAACCTTGTTACCACTTAAGGTTCAAATATTTGGCCATCTCTAAATGTCCCTGCTGTCTTGCTGTGTGACAGGTCACAGAATGTGAAGAATTCTCACATGGTCAGTTATTCTTGTTTTGTTGTGTTAGTGTTGCATTCTGACATGAAACAAATAACTATACACTTTTTATTACTTCCCTTTCTCTAACACAAAGGGTTTACAAAAAAGGTTGGTTTTCAAGTAGTTGGATGGAAAGAATTGTCTTTGGCTACCCTAGAACTCAGACTGGTAAATCATTTCGTATTCTAATGTTTTACAAAATATTTTTAGAACTGAAAACAGATAAGCAGCTATGGCTTCCCTAAGTGTTGTGAGGTCAGACAACAGGCCCCAAAGAGATTCCCTTTACCTGAGTGAAGCGGGGAGACTCTACTGAACAAATTAAGCTGCATGTGAGCAGTAAAATGTGAAAATCCTTGTTTTTACAAGTGTGTGAGAAAGCACATTACCGGTGTAAAGAAACCATAGAGGAATGGTGAGTGTGTGTGTGTGTGTGTGTGTGTGTGTGTGTGTGTGTGTTTGTGCACGTGCGCTCCATATAGAGCACGGCCACTACCCGCTGTGGACTGAGGGTTGACATTTCACACATTTTATTTACTCCTTGCACTAATCCTGTTGCGATGTGAGGTTTTTAATCTCCATCCTATAGAGCCAACAACAGGGATTTGGACATGTCCTGAGTTTCTCTTGTTCCTACAAATGTAATCAAGCAGTGCAACACTAAAGAGAAATGGAATGAAAGTGGAGAAATGTGTAGCACTATCGCTACCTGAAAGGATTCACAAATTATGCCTGCACAGTAGAAACCCTGAGAAGAGCAAGGCTCTTGGTAAAAGCTCCCATAATTCCAGGGCTTGGGAGAAAGAAGCAGGAGGTAGGCCACAAAGTGAGTTCTGGGCCATCTCCGGCTACAGGGTGACATTCTATCTCGGTGAAAACAAAAGCACAGGGGCTGGAGAGATGGTTCAGAGCTTAAGAACACTGGCTGTTCATCCAAAGGTCCTGAGTTCAAATCCCAGCAACCACATGGTGGCTCACAACCATCTAGAATGAGATCTGTATACATAGTAAATAAATAAATCTTAAAAAAGAAAGAAAGAAAGAAAGAAAGAAAGAAAGAAAGAAAGAAAGAAAGAAAGAAA